ATGGCTAGAATTTAGTATTTTGTATTTTGAGCAAAACACTTCATAGACATGTTTTTTTTAAATATCTGTGACCTATAATATATGCCTACAAATAGTATAATAGGAGACCTTTAAAACACTGTTTACAAAATAAGATGAACATGTGTGTTTCATTCTGTGTGGCGGATGACATTTCAATCTGTATGCAGCATGTAAACATGGGCTGTATCTGCCCTGGAAACAATCCATCGACCACTTGGACTGGTGCCAGTGTCTCCCAGAGTAAACCCTTGTCTTACTTGTGAGTGTTGATGGGGGGGTGGGGTCCGCTGTCAGCCTGCGGGGCTCCGGTGTCTCTCTGCCGGGCCGTCCTGGGTCGCACGATTAGGCTGGAGAGGGCAAGGCGCTTCCCCACAACCCCCCCCACCCCCTGTACTAACCCATGTTAAATGGAAGCATTGTGACTGCAGACCTGCTCTCATCTTCGTGTACACTTTCTTTTTTTCTCCCTCTCCCAGTACATAATGACCCCAGACTATGTGACGACAGGCATTGTATCCGACTGGGCCGACCACAGAGAAATTAAAGATGAGGGTCTGATTCAGAGGCAGCTGCAGGTCTTTTTCTGCCGTACAGTGTCCAGCGGTGTTTAAGGTGTGTGTGGGTGTACTTATGTGCATCTATTTTTTGGCTTTAATGTTTAATTAATTTACGTTGTGATTGTGTGTGTTGTTGCAAACATCGAGCCAGGTGGTAACAATTGATTGCCCGGAGCAAGAATTCAATTATGGCATTAGACCTGTAATCTGATGCATTCATGCCTTCACAGGTAGACTGTGCAAACTGTTGTTAATATACACCTATAGCATTAACCCCTGTTATTTACTATATTTAGGAGGTGCAGCAGTTTCACGTGAGGGAGTTTCAATGTTGAATGCGTTCAAGGTTTGAACCATCGTCTTTTATTAAGATTGATATCGTTCAGAAAGAAAGAAAACCACACTTTTTTCACAGAAATTTCCCCCCATCAGACTTTACAGCGAACAATGCGGTCACACTACACCTGACAGGTATTTAATCTCTTGTAGACATTTTATCTGGGAATTCACCTCTCTTACAATTATGAAGTGCAATTTAGAAATCAAAGCTAGGAGCAGTGTTCACTTGCAGAGGAGTTATGGGGAGATCCCCTTTTCCCCTGATAATAACTAGAACCCACACACAGTGAACACACAACCTTATGTGCACAAGATAAGTCCAGGAACATACAGTAGATGATTTATTTTAAATATCATCACTGTGTCATGATGGAAAATAATACATAATAACTGACAGAGGCCAGTTTACATGGGTTTGCATTACAGAAGTAGTATGATGTTTTCAATATTTATTGTTATAAGGTAGTCTTGACTAGAGATGTCCGAATCCGATCACGTGATTGGGGATCGGAGCCGATCACGTGATTTTCAAAAGATCGGAATCGGGAGAAAAAAAATCCGGGATCGGGATTTTTTTTATTTATTTTTTTTATAAATACTTTTTTTTTTTTTTTGTATTCAATGTTACAAAACAAAAATGACCATGTTCAAGTCTTAAAGTCATCCTGAGGCCTTAGTTTTGGTTTCAAATGACAGAACATCATGTATGTGTTGCTTCTTTGGGGCTTGTTTTCATAGACCTGGTTGCTTATTTCTCTCAAATCTGGCAACAGAGTGGGCAGGGTCTAATTGTAGCAGTAAGCTAACGAGTACTGATAAGCTTTATTTTTGTTTTGATCCAATGCTGCACAACTGAACTGATCCAATGCTGCTGTGAAAGAAAGAAGCTATATCCATGTTGGATAGAATATCCAATTTAAATAAAAAAAATAACCTTAAGGGACAACTTGAATGCTTTTTTTCTTTTTTTTCTCTTAATGCATTGCATAAAGATCGGATCGAGAAAAATCGGTATCGGCAAATTGTCAAAATCAAATGATCGGAATCGAATCGGGAGCAAAAAAAGGTGATCGGGACATCCCTAGTCTTGACATCAATAGTGTGGTTGTAAAAGTACCGTACATAATGTTAAACGGTCATTTATATTTGGGTAAATGATAAACACATTTTGCAGCTGCTGTATAAATGAATGAATTCAACACTTTGTACCAGCTTCAGTGTTTTCTCTGCAGACTCAAACTGACCACAGAGATAGCATCATAGGTCTCAGGAGGCAATTAAAAAGAAATTAACTCCAATTTTGTGTTGTCTGCGATTTTTCCGTGTTTATTTTTGAGGTTTCTTGGAAACTCCCACCTTTTTAATTACACCAAATGCTTATTTTAGACCCTTTGCCAGTTTCCACTGGACTGCAAAAATGGTGTAGATGCTATCAACAGTGATGTCAGTGTGGCTATTTCTGCTTCATGCACATGCACACACACACCCACACACACACACACACACTGATCTGGTGCATGTATAAATAATTCACATAAGGTCAAACTTTGATCCGCTGATACAGCCTCTCAGATTGCCAGTAGTGGCAGGAAAACCAGTAGATTGAAAACGAGGAATGCGTCAAGGGGTGTGCTGTTTACTTGTAGCGCGGGCAGCTGGTTAGCCACCCCTCTGCCGTTTACACCCCCCTCCCTCGCTTTTCAATTCCAGCCAGACCCCAGGCTCGGCCACTAACTGGGGGCCGGAATATTGTGCACTGGGGATCAATGCGGCCCTGAGTGAAATGTCACCGCGGCCCTGCGATGTGTCAGGCTGTGAGGGAGTAGTAATGGCTATTGATCCACTGAGCGCTTAATGCAGAGCCACCACGCCAGCCAGCTGCAGCAGAAAGACATATGTATGAGATGAGCTAAAAGTGAGAAAATAGAAAAGAAAGAGCCCACAGTTGTGTCCCCCTCCTCACATCCCCCCCTCTCTGGCTGCAGATTGATCTTCCTCTTCCTGCTGATTCTAACTGGGGTCTGTCATTATCTTACTCTGTCATTAGGGGCTCCATTGACAGCCTTGGCCTGTCTGTGTCACTCTATTGAGACAGCAACACTTTTCCCATGCAGTGTTCCCTACATTTATTAAAATCTCTGACAGCCTTGTCTTGGCTCTCTCCATAGATGGCTGAGCTTCAGGCAGCGGTGCAGCGGTGTAATTGGAAGACGAGGCGCTCCGTTCCTGGCTAGTTATATCAGTGAGGTACGGGTCAGACTGGTTTATATCAGACCGCTGGCGATGAAGAACCAAATCAGACCACCTCAGCCTGAGGGTCAGTGTGTGTGCATCAGTAGTCACCCTACATTTATGCATATATATGTGAAGCACGTTTGTAAGATCAGGAGTTTTCCTGCTGTCACTGTCGGTGATATCTGTGAGGTAAGGGACTGTGTGTAAATTCTAGGATTTCTTTTTTCTTTTTGCCGAGGATTTGCACTGAAAATGTAATGGAAAAAAATGAAGGACCCTTTGATAATTTTTCGTATCCCCCCAAGGTCCAATTTGCCATATAAGAACAACAAGTGTGTCTCTGAATTGGAGGTTTAATGTCCTGATCAAAATCAAATAAAAGCAAATATACGTTGATCTTCATTATCAGTGATTGAACACTACCTTGACTTTTTTTTTTGCATCTTGTGTAAGTGTAGAAAGTATTGTAGTTAAAAGAAATGTACTAAGACCAACATTTTATTTCAATAAACAAACTATCAAAAACATATAGGAACATTTCACCTTCAAAGTATACATACTCCAGCCCAAACACGCAAACTATAACATTATAAAACTAACATTTTAAAATAGCAGCATTATTTTAACTGGCTCTCAGAGTTTCAGCAGTTATATACATATTATTATCCTTTACCTTGAGTTAGTAGTTATAGTAGTAGTTTAAATGCTGCCTCCTATTTCTTTGGAAATGGGGCCAGGCACTACATATTTCTACAGTTGGTTGTTCAGTTTTAACGGAAAGGTTTTTTAAGGTTTCAGCAGGCCAGAGCTTGCAAAATGTTCTTATCACATAGTAGTTGTTAATTTAATTTATATAAAATAGAATACTTTCCTCTGATGGCCTTTGACTTTGTATAACATAAAACTTGCTATATATAGACCACTTACATGTGAAGATTAGGTCATGTGACTTTATATAGTTAGGGTTTCACAGGACCACAACAACTTTTTATTTTAATGCCGTGTTTTTGCATTATAATAACAAACGCATGCTTCACAAATAAAATAACTCAACAAAAACGATTGAGTGGTGAGGGAAGCTTAAAATGATGTACGTTAAACTGTTCTTATAGTGCTTTTGACATTTGTTGTTCTTTATCCCAACATTACATCAACTGAAAGCTTTTGAATGTGCCATTGTTATCACTGTTGTTCAAGCTGATATCAGATGATATTGTTGCCTGATATTCATGAGAAAATAAATGAAATATTAAGCTGTGTTGAGAAAACTCTTAAAACCCTCTTTACTTTCTTTAAAAAAAAGTTACATTTCTCTGACTAAAACAAAAAGACAAAACACATTACCCTCTCCCCCTAATCATTTCCACACAGTCCCTTACCACTATCACCTAAACAAACCTGTTAATAATAATAAACGTGTGTTCAAATATCACAACAGCTGCTGCAACTCAAATAATACAATTTAAGGAGCCAATTTGTGTCCAAGTGACCAAATAGTAAAAACATGATGGCAGATTTCAAAGTGAAAGTAAGAAGAAACCCAAACAGTTTTATTCTGGCAGTCTTTACATAACCTAGATTTCTGATCATGTGATTATTGTTTTGTTGAATTCTCCGCGCCGGGACTATTACTGTAGAGTAGAGACATGACAACTTGAAAACATTTCTGGAGGCTGTCAGGAAGTGCACAGTGGGGTGCAGTGAATTGAGATTGGTGGGTTTGTGGGTACATGTGTGTGTGTGTTTGTGTGCTACACAAAAGCAATGCTGAGTATAGGCTGGTGTTGGGCCCAAGCTGCTTCCCCGTGTTACAGGAGCCACAATCAGGTAGGACCGGGGGGTCTCTGGCTGTCTTGGCCTCCGTAACACACGAGGCTGCTCAATGGGACGGAAGTTATTGGAGGGTTGGGCTGAGACAGATGACATGGTGTGTGACAGAGACTCATCATTTGAGTGTGATACAAGTATTTGAGCTGCAAGGCTGTAATGTCGCTCGGCTTGTCTGGAAAGATTTATTCCAGATTGCAGGGCCTGAGGGGTCAGTGGCCGTACATGTGGGAGGTTTCCCTGAGGGGGGGAAATGCATTTTAGGGGGAAGAGGTGGTGGGCATAATGAGAGAACATGTAAGAGGAAAACAATTAGTTCTATGTATCTAACTATTATATCTAGTGCTGAACGTAAAGCTGTTACAAGACGTGGTGATGAGCTAATTTAGTATTTGCATTCATGCAGATGTATATTTTGCACACTTCCTACAAAACAATGATTTCTTTCTCAACAAACTTGAATTGACAGCCTCACTTCTATCTGACAGAAAGGTTATTTTCCATCGAAGGAGAGGAAATGTTTAATCCAATACCCACTGTGAAAGAAAAAAGTAATGCATATCTCACTTTCTCGCCTGTCTCCCGTCGAGATGAAATTGAAATTTTAATGCATTTCAGAGTTTTCCCCCGAATGGAGAAGCTGATAGACACAGGGATGTCATATTTACAGTATGAACACCCATGGTTTAATGCACTCTACAATACTGCCATCTCCAAGTTCTCCTGAACAAAACATGCTCTTGAACATAAAGGGAAGGCGAAGAAGAAAATTATTCCTCAAGCTTTCTATCAAGCTTCTGCATTCATGGCAAAGCCTAAAGGGCATGTCAGTCTTCTGCCTCTGAGAGAGGTAATTATCCTTTTCCTGTCAGAGAACAACAAATGATAGCCAACTATGGGGGTGCATTTTCAGGAGCTGAAATTTGGCAATTGGAAGGAGAAGGAGGTTTAATTTTCTGGCAGCTGCATATCTACTTTTATCATGCTTTTTCAATGGTCATTTGTTGCATGTTCTTTTCTATTCACATGGGCTCTCAGGGTAGTGCTGCGAGCTGCTGAGGGTGTGTTTATCTGCCCTGCATTAACATACCTATTTATAGTCCTACACTTTCTTACAGTCATCTTTTTTTTTTCTGTTGTGACCATTTCACAGATTATATATTGTCCAAGTAATTTCCCTTTCAGCTTCTGTGTTTTTTACCTTTCAGAGAAAGCAGTGAATGGAGGGGAAATTATCACAATTACTCATATAATTGAGCCGTCTTTGTAGCAAGTGCAGCTTCAGTAGCCCTTTTTTTCCATCAGCCAAAATGGTTTCATTATATGGGTTTTTCATATTCCCTGACACAGGGCTCCGCTGAGGGCCTGGCGCGTGGATGAGATGCAGGATGAACAGAGCGAATCATTAAGGTCACAGTAGGAATAATTATCCCAGCTATGGAAAGAGCATCTACAGCCTTTTTTTTCTCCCCCGGCACAAATGCAGTGTCCACGGTTTTGTTACGAATAAAGCTTCCACCTTCTACTTATACAAAGAAGAGAGGGGGAGAGCAAGACTTGTATCAACATGACAATTTTCCATCATTAAGACTAATGACAGGCACAGACCGTGGGGATCAAGGGGAGCACAAAAAAGAGAGGCGCATTCAGGTGTTGGCTGAGTGCTGACCTCCTTCCTGTCTTTGTTGGAGACTTAACTCTTAACAAATCTAAAAAGGGGTTTCAGACTAAAGGCGCAGTGGCAGCTGAACGTCAAGCAGCACGGCTCTCCATGGGCAAATGACTTAATTGGCGAATTTGCATGTTTTCCATTTGCAGGGAAATTAATTCAATAAGACCTATGTAAAGATGTTTAATCAATCATTGTTTTGATGTTGGTGAAATAATACCCAACCTTATAGCTGTATGGATTCTACTCCGATGCAATTCACTCACATCAACTACATTTTGATCATCCTTAAAATTGATTTTCTTATTAGTTTAGGATTTTGATGCCAAGATCTTCCCTTAACAAGGGATACTGTAACATGTAACAAGTATGAGATGTCAATGTGACACTAGTTTCTTTTACAGTTTAGCTGAATTAAGTAAAAGCCATATTTGTCCAAGTTCTTTCTCCACAGCCTTCACTCAGGTAATTGGTCATTTTGCAGCCAATTTGGGGCAGGTTGGATGCTTGCTGCCATGGCCTGACCCCTGCTGCTGCTGTAATGGGGGACAGCGTTTCTGCCAGTTCGCTGGGGGCTTTTCCACACTGTGATCTCCAGCTTTCTGAGTACAGAGCTGTTCTGAACCCTGAAAGAGGAAAAAAAAAACGAGTTCAAATATGACTTCTTTAGTCCTATTGCACACATGTTGATTATAGAGGCTGCTTTTCAAGTTTCGTCTCTGAGAGTTTTCATTTGCTGGGAATAAAAGAGTCATTGAAGTTTAAAAATAAGCCATTTATTACCGACGTCTGTAAGTGAGGAGGAACAAATGTATGACATGAGGAAAGAAAGGGCAGGAAATATTTGTTTCTAAGTTAATGGCACAAGTATTTGCTCTTTATTTCTATTATCAGCAGGAGCAAGAGTGATGCCGTCAGCCGCCTGCTGAACAACAGGTCCAGTTTGGAGAGCAGCGGTCGGTCAGTACGTCCTGACCCGGTGTGAAGCAGACTCCTCGCAGTCATCGGGGCCTTTTAAAAGACACAAAGAAATCCTTATTTTTCTTCTAACTATTCTAAAAAAATTACAACTTTATTCTATTTTGTATTTGCTGTAGGAAACATTTTATTCTACTGTCAATACAGGAAATACGTCTACGTTTTAGTGTGTAAAGGCATAATATGGTCCAAAAATATACAATATTTTCCCCCACGATAGCAACATTTGAAACGGGAGTATAACTCAAACTAACTGATTTTTTGTATTAAATTAATTTAAAGTTAATGATAATTGTTGATTGTAATACTTTATTAGTATCAAATGAAAAACACAAATGTTTTAATTGAAAAGGCAAATTACATATCAGATCTTTAATTATGAACACATTATTTATTTGGCCCTGAATACAAAACCCCATCCATCACTTCATTTAATTTCAGAAACCAAAGTGTGAACTTACTTGAATGTCATAAAAGGAAGTATTAGAATCTGATTCTCACACAAGTTAACGTAGCCACTAACACATTTAATTATAGTGAGACAGTACATTAAGTTTTAAATGTTTAAAATGAAATGTATTCCTCTGTATTTTCTGAATACAAAATAAAATTGTCACATAATCTAATTTCCTCATGTGTCCCTCCTGGCTCTTATGATAACTAAATCAGCTAACCGATATCACCCTCTTGTTTATCAGATATTATGATTAATTTTTTGTTTAGGTGTTTTTCCAGTAAACAGAATCAATTCACATTTTGATGCCACATTGAACATGAAAATAGACACTGAATCGAGTTAATTGTAGTGCATCTAGTGTGCGTTCATTGACGATGCTGCAAATTACAGGATGGCGCTGAGCAGAGAGAGAGAGGAAGCAGAACAAAAGGCAATTTCACTTGTTTGATCCACTGCCTTAAACACGTGAAA